CACACACACACTGAGAGAGAGAGAGAGAGAGAGAGAGAGACATAAATACCATGTTTCTGTTGTTTTCTTGAATGGTTTTAGTAAAATCCTCCAGCATGTGAAACCTAATCAGAAATGACACTGAGATCATTTTATTTTTTCTTAGTATGCACCAAGATGCTACAGGATATGTTTGCCTTTTGATTCAGCCTGCCAAAAAAGTAGATGCTGGCTGGTACACGTTGTCTGCGAAAAATGAAGCTGGTATTGTCTCTTGCACTGCTAGACTTGACATATATGGTAAGTGGCCATATGGCTTTAGGGATAAATTAACAAAATATATGATATATATGTGATCAGTCTCAACTCTGTCATCTATCCTGTCTTCCCATCATGGCATGTTTTTCCACTTGGAAGCCATCTTTGTCAGACTTGACTTCTTTCTTGGTTTAGATATTGTATGTCTTATCTGGTTAATTTGGTCAGGGGAGATGAATCCTGTTCTAGCTGAGTTGAGATCCAGATATTTCTAGGTGGGTCATGGATAACAGAATAAAGATTTTCAGGCAGTAGAGTCTTCAATAGCTCTAATAAAACCCAACGCTCAGTTGAATCCTTATATTAATAGTTCCTTATGTGAGCTACATGAGGGTACATAGAACTTGCCCAAGATTTTTTTAAAGATAGATGAGTTTATGTATTTATTATTTACTTATTTCAATTTAGGCAGTTCGCTGATACAGTAATAACATAAAAACCAATGCAATCCTAGAGCTGCGTTCCTAAGATTGTTGAAGTTTTGTAAAAGATGCTGAAGTACAACTTTCAGAGTTTTGTCCACTAGCTGCCCTGATATTATAAAGTATTTTGGGATGCATGTCTAAGATTGCAAACTCTTTCATTGCTGCTACATACAAGTTCATTGCCTCTAAAGTTCTTGGAACTGCTGAAGCAGCTGGACCAATCCTTAGAGAGTAGAAGCAGAAGCTAGTCATAATTCAAGAAAGATCAATTCAATTCTGTAGGGAGTTATTTAAAAATTGCAGCGAGGGGGGAAACTGCCAGACCACAAACCAGGTGAGACCCATCATACCTTTGGGTCTACCAGCAGCCTTCCCTTCCCTTCCTGACCTTGTCTCTTTCTAGGGGCAATCAAGCTGGGGGAGAGATTCCATTTGCACATGGGGGTTCCTCCCCCAAGTACATAAAACATTAATCCAAGAAATTTTCCTTGGGTAAATGTAGCACTTGACATTTAAAAATGATCCTCATTCCTGAAAAAGATATATCCTTGACCTACAGGTAAGGTTATTCCTGGGCAAACTTTATTGAAGCATCAGGCAGTGATTCTGTGTTTGCTTGTTTACTACTCTTTGTTTACTGCTCATCATTTATGATAGCAACATGAAACATGAACACAAACATTAAAAGTTTAATACCATATAGTGACATTCTTAGCAGCGGTCAGGAGCAAATGCATCAGGAGGAACCAAAATTCTAGGTAACGAAGTGTGCTTTAAGAGTTTATAAAACTGAAAAGAGAAGATGCATCTTTGAAGGCAAGATGTTCTACACCGTAAGGAGCATCAACAGGAAGGCCTTTGCTCAAGTAATAGCCCTGAGAAGTAAGCCCCCCTCAGAGATTTCAAGGGGTTAGCTAGCGCATGCCAGGAATGGTGTTGAAATAAATTCTGGGGCTCAAAATCATTTAGGGCATTATAGATTGACAGTAATATATTAAAATAGGATTGGAAGCTTCCACATTATTCTAGCTAACTGAAGTTCTTGGAGAACTTCAAGGGCAACCCCAGTTAGCACACACTACTGTAATCTGCCTTAAATTTTCACTTACAAACTAGGGGTAACTCTTTTTACAGCCTTTACAGTATATATGACCTAAAAGAGATGCTTGATAGTTGTGCCCTACGTTCATGTAATTTTTTGCTCCAGCCCAGTGGCATCGACAGATCCCTCAGCCAATCAAGTTTCGCTCGAGTGGCACCCGATATGCAAATCTGACAGGACAAGGACTCGACATTTTCTCTGCTTTCTCAGCTCTTGAGAATCCAGCACGCTTTTCATCTCCATCCCAGCCTGTGGTAGAAAGTGAAGAACTTTAAAAAAAAAAAAAAAAGATTCCAATCCTCCCTGAAAATAAAGAAATACTAGAACTGTGAAAAGGAATGGAAGGTACATGCTGAGACATTTAAGGTTTACAAGTAATATAACTGACTACCCGCAAAGATGTTGAGATACAAGATTTTAGTACAGCATCGTACTCTGGAGTCATTGTGGTATAGAATATACTGGAACAAATTCTGTGCTGTGTTATTTTTGTTCCATGGGTTATGAAGAAAAGTGACCTAGTTTTCAGCTGTTAAGAAAAGAAAGCTGTGGCCATTTTTCCTGCTTGGATTTCAAGGCAGTAAACAGGCACTTGGTCAAGATTTGGATAGCTGTCTGAAAGGAACCAAGAAAGACATTGACATTGATGGTAATCATTCTGAAGAAGGATAAACCAGGGGCATCTGGAAGGAGAAAGGGGGTCAAAAAAGTCAAGATGGTGGTTTCCACCACCCCGCCAGGACACCACCTTACTTTCTGGATCCCCTGCATAACCCCTGACCCCCTGATTTTGAATACAGTGTTTTAAGGGTGGCTGGTGGTCACAACACAGAGATCAAATGCCAGACAATGAAACCGTGACTTATCAGTTTACTAAGGGTTCGTACAAATGAAACAGCTAGCAAACCCAAAACTAGATATGCATAGCATTTCAGATAGAAACTGCTTCTAAACAGTAGAATTTTTTTAAAAGTGTGACTCTATACTCATGAATCTTGCACTCAAGGAGGGTTCTTAATAATAGTGTTGACGCCTTGGTCGTTAGGGCTGCAGGCATACGCTTACCTTAAAGTAAGCCCACTCAACTATATGAGACTTACTTCTGAGGGATATGTATAGGATCATACTGCAACTAGTTATAAACAGCTTATGTACCACAAAGCCCATATTATAAAGTCACCCCACAGCTCCCAATGGCATATACATCTTGAAGCATGCTTATTTTTTCTTTTTCCATATTTAGAATTCAATATATGAACAAAAACAAAAATAACTTCCATGTTGTTTTTGTTTCATTGGCTTTTAGATAGGAATTTATTTTCCATCTTCCAGAATTCTACATACATACATACATTTATCAAAATGGGTTAGGATGTTATGACCTTCTCTTTAAATTATAGCCTTTTTGCAGACATGGTTGGGTCTGGTTTATTGCATTTTCCTTTTTTTTTTCTGACTTGGAAATAATCCTGCTTTCTTCACAACAGCGCCACCTCTATTCCCCCCCCCCCCCTTTGAGCACCCCAAATAAAAGTGTACAGAGAATAAAATTCTTCCATAGATGATACTCACTAAACAAAAAGGAGCTCTAATCTGGTCCAAAATTATCAATCAAACTTCATTCATTTTGGATATTGGTAGAGCTCCATATTTAAAACAAATAATTAAAAGAGGTCATAAAGCAAAGAGGTTTTGTTAGCATATGATTTAAATCAGTACATGCAATTAACCAGTTTTACTGCATTTCTGTTTTTATTCAATATTCTAAATGAAGACCCACTAAAGCTAGAAATACATATTAGCATGTTGTTTATGCTTAAAGCTATGGCTCAGATGTATGATGCTAATTTCACTGCTAGGGAATAAATCTATTTCCATCAGGTTTGCCAAAAACCTTTGTAAAACATGCAAAATAGGTATTATTAGCAGTGAATAGTCACTTGGCTATAACATTTAAACAAAGTCTCAACTCTTTGAAAAAACTATAGCCAAATTTAAATCTAACTCAGGATTTAAATATTGTTAACTTTTGCACTAGCAGCAGGAATTCACTGACATTAATTATGCCATTTTGTAATCCAATCCTTCAACAATAGCCCAGCATATTTTCTTCTTGGGAGTGTTTGGGTGAGACAAAAAAAAGATCTTCTAGGAAGCTGTAGTCACAACACATTCAGAGTGGGGAAGCCTGGTTTTAAATAGTTTTTTTCACTAGCGTCCTCCGTGTAGTGGGGCTATAGTTACCAGCATGCTGAAAGTTGTAATCCCCATGTAGCTGGAGAATTCAAGGCTGAAGAAACCATCGTAAGAGGTGTGTGTTTTAAAAGTAAATCTGAATGAAGATACTGTTGATGCTGGGAATAACGTTTCTGTCACTTCCATACCATCCTTCCTAGTTGTCAGAAGTTTGAATTTTGATCCCAGTAAGGCAGATTGCTCTGGAAAGCATCTTCTCTGCTTTGTTATAAATAAAGCCGGAATCTAAATCTGTTTCTCAACCTTGGCAACTTGAAGATCTGTGGAGATCATGCTGGCTGGGGATTTCTGGGAGTTGAAGTCCACAGATCTTCAAGTTGCCAAGGTTGAGAAACACTGATCTAGATTAATGCACTATTGCCATGAAATCAAGTTCTGTTTCATTAAAATCCCAATTGCTCTTATCGAGGCAATTCTATCTTCCCAAGTGAGCAGAACGTGGGAAGATTCTTCTGAACTTTGATCAAGAGAACAATACCTTGTTCCAAATGGGGATGTAAAATTAAAGTTCACTTTGGAAGGTTCATATAAAGAAAGATTGCAGATATCCCTTAAGTATTATAAGAAATGCTGTTCCTGTATCCAGGTAGCTTAAAAAGAAAAACATTGGCAGAAAAAAATATATGGCAACAAAGATGCATCTCGGCAGCAGAGGGATTCACTGAAGTCGTGTGACTCCCCAGAATTTGGTCAAAGTTTACTTTCATATGGAAAATGCTCCAGAAAAAAAAATTGAGTATTCCTGAAAATTCAGATGTAAACTAATGAATATTACTGATTATCTAAATGTAATTGTCATCATGTATTGATGTACATTTGCAAAAACATATATATCTCCTGCAATACAGGGAATATATATGTTTTTTCAGACTTAATGGTTGTCAATATTCAGAAAAATTTGGACATTTGCATAATGACTCCTTTGAATTTGATCAGTTTTGGACTCAGTGGAATTCAGCCAAGGCAAACGTTAATTCAGTTTACTTGATATATATAAAGCAGCCCTCACTTGGTATGTATAATTGATATCAAATCAACTGAGTAGGTAGATTTATGTGAAAAAAGACCATTGTAGCCATTGATATTGCTGAAAGACATGACAAATTCAGAGTTGCGAGAGTTTTCTTCTTGCAGAAGATAGTTTGATTTCTCTTTTTATTTATTTCATAAGCCAGAATCTAAAATTTGCACTAGAAACAAGTTCTTTCATCTTATGCAGCAAAAGTCATTCCTATAAACTTCCACAAGGAAAGAAAGCTTATGGTAGCAAAATAAATCTTTATTTTAAAATCCTTGCTGACTAAATGAGGATGCCAAATGGATATGTGCTTCCAAATCAGGTAAGCGAGAATAAAGGGGTTTCCAACACGTCATGGAAGAACATTCCCCATCATAGTCAATTCCTCTCCTCCACAAGCCATCCTGTCTGCTTCAAGGAGGTGAAGGGCTTTAGAACAAGATGGGGGGAGAGACAAGAAATACATGGCTTGAACGAAAGTGGATTCAGGATTGAAGGTAGCCCAATAGGTTTCTACAGACTATATCCACATTCTTCTATTAATATCTTTATTGAGATTCTGGTTCCTTTTCTGAACACGCTAAATTCCAATAAAAATTTTAGAGAATCCAAAGGACTCTAAAAACTTTTTTTTTTTTTGTATAAGAGGATACTACAAAGCGAGGAAAATGCTTTTGTGTTTTGAGATTATTTAATATATATCAGCCCCAAACTTCAGATATCCTTTTTCAGTGAAACGATACAGTATTGCTGTGAAAGCACAACTTCAGAATCGTAACAAGGGGAATATTCAGCAGAAATATTAATGAAAACTTGAAAAGTGGATTCACTATAGACAATCAATCCTGGGAAGTCACTTGGAGTCCTCATGTTTCTCATATAAGTCAGCAATACACAAATCTAATAAATGATAGCACCATCGTCTTCTTATTTCTGATGTACAAATATTTTTTTGAGAAAAAAAATAGATCAATTGATCCACAACTGTTTTGTTGGAAACTCTTGCTTTGTGTCAGAGAAAGGCACAATATGATATATATGAAGAACTGTTGTAACAATGCCAGCAAGACACAATTCTGTGGAAAAATGATTTCACCTACCCAGTTTAAGCAGTACCTGAATTAATATAGAAGGGAAAGCAAATGAAACTTTCTACCTGTTAAATGAAGTATGTGTTGCACAATTCAATGGCCTTATATTCTACCAATATGAAGTTGCTATTTTTCCATTAAAATGGGGTTTTATCCTGGTAATATATAAGGTGCATATCAAAGAGGGGAGGGGAATGAATGGAACACTCGAAAGTATATTCTAAATGCATATAAAGAAAAATGCCTGACTGTTCAGCAAATGTGTTTTCCCTCATCCATTGAATAAATGCTTCAGAGTGGCATTATACAAGTATCTCTTTGCCTGTGTCCCTGGGGAATTGTTCTCCAAAATATTACAGAGCCAAGGGCTTTTTCTGGTTTGCCTTGCAATTGCAAGTGATGATTACAGATTGCAGCTGATGAAGATGGCACGGAACACTTATGTTCTTCCTTAAGGAGGTGATCCACACCCCCAAAAATGGTTTCCGTATGCAGATCTGAACACCGTCCTGCTGCCCTCAAAACCTCATGTCCGGATTTGCTACAGAACCTGAATTCGGAGACATTCTGCTAGGATGCTTCATCGTTGCCTCCATGAAGAAGAGCTATACCATCACCAGGAAACATGTACTCTGTTCGTCTTGCCTGCTGCTGTCCTTAACAAGTCAGTAGCTCCTCGTTCCTTTTTCCCAACAAGATATGAGGAATGATCTCTGCATTATCCTGGCTTCGTCCAAGGTATTCTTTTATCTTGTGTGAAGCAGCAAAATCTTAATCAGATTTCTGATGTGATTTCATGGTAAATTTAAGCATTCCCTTGAGTCAAGCACAACTCCTGGTGACAATATGGATGCATCCAGGCAGGTCTGGGGGCAACAGCACAGAAGTGGGATTTCCTTCTCTGGGGATGACTTTCGGCTTCCCACTCTAACCTGTAGCCCTGGAGTGTGATGGCGGCCTCTGCCACCAATGTACTAACCAGAAGCAACCCTTCTGAGCTTTAGAGTCCAGATATAGTTAGCTTAAATAATTATTAGCTATACTAGTAGGAACAAAACCTGGTTTGGGGCATAACTGCAATTAAATTTGTTTTAAATAAACAATTCCCATTAGAGAAACAAATTTGTCTGTTTTTTTCATCCACGTATTGAAAGCACCATAGCAGAACTTCTGCTGCTCATTGTTTGCAACTCATCTCACTATTGTCTCTGACAAAAATAAATTTTAAAAAAATTGAATGGCTAATTGGTTTGGGTTTTTTCCTTAAACCATTTTTATTCAGAGGTGACAGTAGGAGCAAGATCAGCAAAACTTGTATGTCTACAGCAGCATAAGAAGATTAAATGCCGTTAATCTGCTTGCAGTCTGAAATTCTTCCTTGATTCTTAGCATGTGTGAATCACGCAAGGAGGTAGACTTCCCGTCCCTCTTAATCCAGATTCTGCAAGCAGCTGAGGAAGGCCAGAAGGGATGAAAATGCATGCTTTGTTTAGCCCTGGCTGGGATAAGGGAGAGGCCGGAATATTGTTCTTGCAACGTAAGAGCAATTGCATTGTTCTGTCCTGAACATGCAAGATGCTAGCAACAGGAAGACTGGACAATCACTAACTTCGAAGGTGTTTGAGAATTTTGGGGGGGAGAGGGGGAGGGTTGGCATCAAAGAAAGTGGAGCGAGAAACCCAGGGCAGCAGACCCAGCCCCACTCAATCCAATTTACATCATCACTGAACTTAGGTTGGGGCACAAGAAGCCAATCCACATTTAAAGCTGAGTTTTCAGAAGAAAAAAGACGCCTGATAGAATTTCTCCCTAACTTGGATTGCCTTTCCCATTTTAACATCTCTGGCTTGCCGGCTGCTTCAGGACTTTTCATGTGTCTTATCCCATTTGTTTGGTCATAAAGCTTCATGGGAAGTACCATGAAAGATTGTTATGTCACCTCATAATGGTTTAAA